GCCGAGATACGTTCAATCCTGAAATTGGATCTAACAGGCTGTCGTCATCTGCGAAAATGTTGAAATGGGGACACACGTCTCGATTAGGCTACTTTAACGTTGCAACCAACACTACCATGGGCGGATCTTGGTTTTAAAGGGGTTTTGACGATGAGCACCCTTTCATTTTTAGTCATCAGTAATAACTAATGTGTTGTATGCCTACATGGGTCTGATATTAGTCTTTAATTTCATTAGCATTATTTATGTGGCCGCATTTTGGAGAAAAATAAAACATTATAATTAATATAATAAATTAATACGTAAAGTAAAGTAGTTGTGTCCATGGGCGCCCGCAGGTAGGGGCGCCCGCAGGTAGGGGCGCCCGCAGGTAGGGGCACTCCCCCCCCCCATGGATTTGATTGGATAAAATATATATATATATATATATATATGTAATTCGCCAGCAGAGGTCAAACACCACCACGCAGGCTATATATTTATATAGATGCGCTAGAGCGTGGTTAAATAGTGAGTTCACTAGCGCGCAAAATATAATTCCCAATAACTACACTAAATTAAATGATATATATCTATTTTTAATAACGCAATTGCGTTTGGTGCGTAATATTTTCTTTTCGGAAATTATATCGTCTCAATTTACGAATGGCGTAAAAAATATTCCTTTTAAAAGTGGTTGGGACATGAGAATATTAATATAGTTCATGGGCGTGAAATAAAAAGGGTGCAGTGACGTGTCATGAAAAAAAAAAGGGGGGGGGGTGTAGCTAAGTTGGCATTCTTAAATGTGCGTAACTTGAGTTCACGTTTTTGTCAAGCAACTTTTTTAGTAGATGGGAAGTTCACGCATTGCTGTCGCCAATGTTTGGCGGGCTATTTCCATCGATCATGTTATATTTAAATTAATACTTTTAATAAAGAAAAGTCTATATTAATGAATTATTATTTTATTAATAAGATGCTTTCTCCTTTAAAAAACGAATCTATCTAAATGTCTGTGATAAGATTCAATTTAAAACTATTTCAAAAAATTACATACGCAAATATCCCATTTTCTTGACCCTCACTGAAAGGCACAACTCTGCAGGTTGAAAATTTGTTTGGAATGTTGTGTTTTTCTTTTATGTCTTAGCAAAAACCAAGAATATGACGCATTACGTTACATAGAGATATAAAAAGAAACAGAAAATGCGCAAATATCAGTGTGCAATTTTTACTTTAATCTATTTTTTAATATAAATAACATAGTAACATTTTTTGCTAGCTTTAATCTAAATCTGAAACCCAGTTAAAATCCAGTAAAATTAATATTGCCAGTGCTTTTCGTTAAAGTAGAAAAATTTATAAATACATTAAATATAATATAATTAATGAAGCAAACGTTGCCGGTTTCTTAACAACTATAACATTTGGCCGGTTTGGCTCTTCTATCCTGAAAGCTAATAGGGGTGGCAGTTGGAAGTACTAAATTTCAACTAATAGCTTAATTCCCTACGCAATTCAGCGGTTCTAAAAATATGACAACTTTAATCGACTTCAACTTTAAATGATAAGAAGCCATCCGAGAAATACTAGTATTTATGAATGGTCGTACTGGGCGCTCGCAGCGGTCCACTTGCATGTATAGGTCCTATTCTCACACTAGAAAGAAAGAAACAAACACAAACATAAAGAATTACAAGGAACGCAGCAAAGGTCACAAATATAATTAATTATCTTTAATGGCTTCAATGTTGCATACCCTTTGACCTCTTAATGTTCTATCGACTTGAAAGTAGCGGCTTAGCAGCTAACTTGAAACCATGAGGAAACGCCAGGGATGTCATTTCAGTTTAGTTTTTTTTTTTTTTTTTTTCTTTCCGAGGGGGGGGGGACAAATCCAAAAACTTGGTCCGCTTGTTGGGAATTGTCAGATTATAATTTATGTTTTCTTTTTTTCATTTTAAATTAATGAATATTGTTTTCTTTATTTTTTTTCTGCTATGTTTGCTTTTCTGCTGTCCTAC